TACTCATTTACCACTTGATGTTGCTTCCACTTTTTCACTATTTGTGAATAACACTGCTGTAAACATTTATGTACAGGTTTTTGTGTGGATGGGCACTTGACTTCTCTTGGGTAGAATTGCAGGATCATATGATAACTCTACATTTAACATTTTTTTTTAAACTTCAGTGTTTTATTTTTTTTTAAAGATTTTATTTATTTATTTGACAGAGACACAGCGAGAGCAGGAACACAAGCAGGGGGAGTGGGAGAGGGAGAAGCAGGCTTCCTGCTGAGCAGGGAGCCCCACGTGGGACTCGATCCCAGGACCCCGGGACCACGGCCCAAGCCCAAGGCAGACGCTCAACGACGGAGCCACCCAGGCGCCCTCTACATTTAACATTTTGAGGAACTGCCAAACTGTTTTCCAAAACCATTGTTCCATTTTACATACCCTCCAGCAGTGTATCCAGTCGGTTTTTACTCTCAGGGAACAGTACCAACCAACCGGCACTCCCCCTCCTTGTCACGTGCAGGCCCTCATTAGAATGTCTCTTTCCAAGACAAGCCACTTTCCAATATACCTTCAAGTAGGTATCTGTTAAGAAAGTAGGTGACAGACTGCCCCAGCAGCCTCTGAATGCACCAGAGTCTCTGTTCCTCTTTGGGTTTTTCCTGCCACCTCTCCTCATCCTTCCCTCCCTAGATCCAGCCAGGGGAGGGGCCCTTCCTGTAGAGACCACATTCACAGCACCTTCAACAATGTCTCCCCAGGTAACCTGGAAATTCTTTTGAGGACAGGAGGGTGTATCTGAAGGCTGTCATTTAGAATTTATAAGAAGTTCTTTAGGTATTTATTTATTTATTATTATTATTTTAATATTAGTGTGTACACTTGGTCACTATTTCTCAGCTGAGGGTGCCATATTTGAATCAAGACCTCTCTCATCTCTTCTTGCTTTAAAATAGAATTGCCAATGTGAGATTTCTAGCTATGGCTGAGGGAGAGACTGTTATAGCTTCTCCCCAGAAAGGGTCTATAAAGCTGGACAAAATTGATTATTTCACTGCTCTGGAAATCAGAGAAAGATCTACAACAATCTGAGAGGCATCTATGCTTGAACAAGTGCTGCGCAGTGCAAGTCTTTGCAGTTCTTCCCCCAGGCTACTCCCATTCCCCTGCCAGCTTAGTTGACATGGAGATTTGGTCAGAGCGTGACAGAACTATGAGGACCCCGGCAGTCCAAGAGGACTCACTAGATTTGAAACAGTGGATGAAACCTGAACCCAGTAAAGCTGTCAGTGGAAATGGCAATCTCAGCAGAGTGAGTGGGGTGAGCTAATGGCCCCATAAGCCTGGAATTGTGTGGTTGAGTCAAGCATATTCTTGGATGAGGCTATGCCCATGCACAGTGGAGACCTGGAGAAGGTCTCAGTGACCTACATACTCCTGGCTGACCTTGACACTGCCCACAGTATCCTCAACAGGCAAAAGTGATCAACAGAATATATTCAAAATTAAAAGGCATCAAACTTCAAAAGACACCATTAAGAAAATAAAAATCAAGCCATGCACCTAACAACTGAGTGTCAAACTATGTGAGGCAAAAACTGGTAGTGCATTCATCTGTTTCTCCTCGAAATTCTATCAGAGTTGAAGACTTCAACATGACACTATCAGAAATGAACAGATCTAGCAGGCAGAAAATCAGCTAGGATATAGTTGAACTCAACCCCATCAATCAACTGGATATAATTGACATCTATAGATTATTTCACCCAACCACAGCAGAACACACATGCTTCTCAAGCTCACATGGAACATTCACCAAGACAGACCACATTTTGGGTCATAAAATACATCTTAATAATTTTAAAAGGCTAGAAATCATACAATGTCTGCTCTCAGGCCACTAAGGAACTAAATTAGAAATCATTAGCAGGAAAATCCCAAAATACATGGAGATCATACTAGCCAAAGAAGAAATCTCAAGAGAAATTTAAAGATATTTTGAGCTAAATGAAAATGAAAACACAACTTACCAAAATTTGTGAGATGCAGTGAAAGCAGTTCTTAGAAGGAAATGTATAGAGGGGCACCTGGGTGGCTCAGTTGGTTAAGCGACTGCCTTCGGCTCAGGTCATGATCCTGGAGTCCCGGGATCGAGTCCCACATCGGGCTCCCTGCTGAGCAGGGAGTCTGCTTCTCCCTCTGAACCTCTTCCCTCTCATGCTCTCTATCTCTCATTCTCTCTCTCTCAAACAAATTAAAATATATAAAATCTTAAAAAAAAAAAAAGGAAATGTATACCATTGAATGCATATATTGGGAAAAATACCAAATATCAATTACCTAATTTCCAGCTTAAGAAAATAGAAAAAGAAGAGCAAATTAAATCCAAAATAAGCAAAAGGAGAAAAGAAATAATAAAATGTAGATCAGAAGTCAGTGTAATTGAAAAACAAAATCAATACAGAAAATCAGTGAAACCAAAAGCTGGTTCTTTGGAAAGATCAATAAAATCAGTAAGCCTCAGCCAGGCTATTTACAAAAAGGGAGAAAGAAGGAGGGAGGATACAGATTACTAATATTGGAAAAGAAAGAGAAGACATCACTACAAATCCTATGGAAACACTATTAACAACTCTATGTCCACAAATTTGATAACCTAGATGAAATGGACCAATTCCATGAAAGACAATTTGCAAAAGCAAATTGCCAAATTGTCTGAATAGGCCTGTATCTATTCAAGAAATTGAGTTAATAATTAATATCCTTCCAAAACAGAAAGCACCAGGCTTAGATGGGTTCACTGGTGAATTCTACCAAACATTTAAGAAACAAATTCTATCTGTTCTCTACAATCTTTTTTGGAGATTAGATGCAGATACTTTCTAAATCATTGTAGGAGGCCAGGATTACCCTAATACCAAAACCAGACAAAGACATTACAAGAAGACTATAGGCCATTATCTGTCATGAATATTAGATGCAAGAATTCTCAAAAAAAAAATTAGCAAATAAAATCCAACAATGTACAAAAAGAATTATACACCATAACCAAGTGGGACTTATCCCAAGTATGCAACATGAGACTGGCTAAGCATTTGAAAATTAATGTAAGTCATCACATCAGTAGGCTAAAAATGAAATTCATACAATAATATCAATAGGTGCAAAAATAGAACTTTACAAAATCCAATGCACATTTGTGGTAAAACTCCCAATAAACTAGGAATAGAGGGGAACATCCTCAGTTTGATAAAGACTATCTATAAAAACCCTACAATTAATATCATACCCAATGGTGAGAAACTCAGAGCTTTACCACTAAGATCAGTTACAAGGCAAGGATGTCCCCACTCACCACTCCTTTTCAAATCATACTCGAAGTTCCAGCTTATGCAATAAGAAAAAGAAATAAAAATATACAGTCTGAAAAGGCATAAAACTGTCTTTGTTGTCAGATGACATGATCATATGTAGAAAGTCAAAAGAAATTGAAGAAAAAACCTAAGCAAGTATAAAAAGGTTGCAGGATATAAGGATAATATACACAAGCCAATAATTTTCCTATATACAATCAATGAACAAGTAGAACTTGAAATTAAAACCACAATGCTATATTTATGAGCATCCCCCAAAATGAAATATTTAGGTATAAATCTAACAAAATATGTACAAGATCTCTGTGAGGAAAACTACAAAATTCTGATGAACAAAATCAAAAACTAAGTAAGTGGAGAGATATTCCATGTTCATGAATAGGAAGACTCAATATTGTCAAAATATCAGTTCTTCCCAAATTGATCTATAGACTCAATGCAATCCCAGTTAAAATCCCAGAAAACTGTTTTGTGGATATCAATAAACTGATTCTAAAATTTACATAGAGAGGCAAAGGAACCAGAACAGTTAACAGTATTATAGGAGAACAAAGTTGGAAGACTGACACTACCCAACTTGAAGACTTACATATAATAAGTCATAAGCTTACCTATAGTAAGCTGTTAGTAAGACTTGTAGCCACCATAACCAAGACAGTGTGGTAGTGGCAAAAAATAAACCTACAGATCAATGGAATGGGACACAGAGCTCAGAAGTAGAAACACATTTATAGTCACAACTGATTTTGACAAAGGAGCAAAGGCCATACAATGGAGCAAAGATAACAAAGGATGGTGGAATAACTGGACATCCACATACAAAAAAAAAAAAATGTAGAGACAAATGTTACACCTTTTACAAAAATTACCTCAAAATGGCTCATAAACCTAAATGTAAAGTGCAAAACTATGAGACTAGAATATAACATAGAAAACCTAGATAACCTTGGGTATGGCAATGATTACATCCAAGTTGTTGTTACATCATAGTTACTACATCAAAAGGCCCAATTCATGAAAGAAGGAATTGATAAGCTGGACTTAACTAAAATTAAAATTTCTGGTGGGGGGGGTGCCTGGGTGGTACAGTCAGTTGAGTGACTGACTTGGTTTCAGCTCAGGTCTCAGGTCGTGATCTCACGATCCTGAGATCAAGCCCCCGGTCGGGCTCACCAGGGAGCCTGTTGAAGTTTCTCTCTCCCTCTGCCCCTCTCCCCTTCCCCTCCCCTGCACACACACCTTTAAATAATAAATCTTTAAAAAATAAAATTTCTGTCCTGCAAAAGATAATGTCAAGAGAATAAGACATGCCACAGACTGGTAGAAAATATTGGCAAAAGACACATGATAAAGCACTGTCATCCAAAATATACAAGAACTCTTAACAGTAAGAAAACAACCCGGGCGCCTGGGTGGCTCAGTCAGTTAAGCGACTGCCTTCGGCTCAGGTCATGATCTTGGGGTCCTGGGATCGAGCCCCACATCGGGCTCCCTGCTCAGCCGGGGGAGTCGGCTTCTCCCTCTCCCTCTGCTCATGTTCTCCCTCTCTCTCTCAAATAAATAAAAATCTTTAAAAAAAGAAAAGAAAACAAGCCCATTAAAAAATGGGCCAAAAACCTTCCCAGGCGTCTCACCAGGAAGAGAGTTGGATGACAGCCTGTGAGGAGATGCTCCGGCGGCCGCTCGTGTGCTCGCTGGGTGTGGACCCGGTACCTCTCTGTGAAGTGGCAGCTGAGGAGACTCTGGGACTCACCGTGGCCAACAAAGAGCCCAGGGATTTTTCATCTTCCAGATTGATTTCAGCGGCTGAAAACAGCACTATGCTCATTTCTCATACAGAATCAGAAACCTGCTGATGTCTGAAGCAAGTTGGGTTGCTGCTACTTGGAAAGGGTTTGTCAATGAGGCAACTCAGATTCCAATTCCCTGAGCCAGTGAAACAGACACACCGCACAGTGGGAGGAGGATGCAGAGACGGTGGATGTGTTCCAGCAGCAGACGGGAGGTGTCCCCTGAGAAGGGAAACCTCTACTTTTGTCCTGCAGAACTCTGCTCCTCCGGACCAAGATGACATTCTCAGGTAGAAAACTGCAATTTGGCCCCACCACATCCTGGCCACTGCAACCGAGTTTTCTCTATTCTTTCATTTTTTCCTTCCCCATTCCTTTATTATAAAGTAACTGTATGTGCACAAGCATATTGCATTTTTGTAACAAAATGGCCAATGGTATGTTTTGATCAACATCAAATGGAGATGGGATGGGGGAAAATACTGGTTCGGTGAAAAGACCCCTTCTCTCCATTCGCGGCATGCTCAGTCAGCTCTTGTCTTTATATTCCAGTAAGTTACTTTGCTCTCACTCTTTAACAAAAAAAGAACAACATAAAAATCCTTACATACCTTGTTCGATTGGAGAATTTTAATGTTTTTCATTGATCCCTGTAAAACCAAGGACAATGTTCTAACTCTTTTGTCTGTAGCTGTTACATGTAGGGCAATCTGTCTTTAAATAGGGATAAATTACTCTAAATGAATCCTAGATCATTTTCCCTTCAAGTCTTGTTGTCTTGTTGTTTAAATAAACTTCTTGTCTTAAAAGAAAAGGATGATCCACAACACACATCATTAGGGAAATGTAAGTTAAAACACTATACATACCTACTAGAATGCCTAAACGCCAGAACATCAACAAAACCAAATGCTGGCATGGGTGTTGAACAATAGGAATTCTCATTCACTGCTGGTTAAGAATGCAAAATGGTATAGTCATGTTGCAAGACAGCCGAGCAGTTTCTTACAAAATTGAACATACTTCTACCATCTGATCCAGAAACTACAATTCCTGGTATTTATCCAAGGGAGATGAAAAATGATGTCCACCCCAAAACCTGATGTTTATAGCACACTGATGTTTACAGCAGCTTTCTTCATAATTGCCAAGACTTGGAAGCAAGCAAGATATCCTTCAGTTGGTGAATGGTTAAACTGTGGTACATCCAGACGATGGAATATCATTTGGCACTAAGAAGAAATGAACTATCAAGCCATGAAAAGCCATGGAGGAAGCTTAAATGCATATTACTAAGGGAAAGAAGCCCATCTGAAAAGGCTACATACTGTGTGATTCCAACTGTATTCCAGCTGTAGGACATTCTGGGAAAGGCAAAACTATGATTCCCGAAAAGATTGGGGGTTATGGGTATGGGGAGGAATGAACAGGGGAAGCAAAGAAGTTTTTAGGGCAGTGAAAATACTCTTTATAATACCACAGTGATGGGTACATAGCATCATACTTTTTTCCAAATCCAAGTAATGTACAACACCAAAAATGAACCCTAATGTAAACTATGTACTTGGGTGATTAAGACTGGGTCAGTGCAAGTTTATCAGTTGTAACACATGCATGACTCTGGTTGGAGATGTAAATCATAGGGAAGCTATGAATGTGGTGACAGATGAGGGGAGGGGGGTGCAAAGGATTTATGGGAAATGTCCATACCTTCCCCTCAATTTTACTGTGAACTTTAAACTGCTTTTAAAAAAAGTCTTAGGAACAAAAAAAGAAAGAAAGAAACCAAAAAGACAAAAAAACACAGCCTGGGAGAAAATAATTGTAAGTCGTGTATCTGATAAGGGTTTTGCATCCAGGATATATAGTGATCTCTTACAACTCAATACGAAGAAAAACTATCCCATGTAAAAATGGGCAAAGATATGGACAATTCATCAAGGAGGATACACAAATGCCAAATAAGCACATGAAAAAATGCTCAGCACCACTGGCCGTAGGGAAATGCAACTAAAACTACCTTGAGATACCTCTATATCGCAGCTAAAATGGCTATCATTAGAAAGACGGACATGCCAGGGCGACTGGGTGGTTCAGTCGGTTAAGCTTCTGATCTTGATTTCAGCTCAGGTCATGATCTCAGGGTCTGGAATCCAGACCCACGCAGGGCCCCACATCATTGAGCCCCACGTCGGGCTCTGCGAGGGGCGTGGAGCCTGCTTAAGATTCACTCTCTCCCTCTGCCCCTCCCCGTGTGCATGCTCACTCCCTCGCTCTCTTCTTCTCTCTTAAAAAAACCAAAACAGACATGCTGGGTTTTGGTGAGGATGTAGAGAAATGGGGACTTGTGTACACTGCAGGCAGGACTGTAAGGTTGCTCGTCCACTTTGGACAGTTTGGCCATCTCTTTAAACGTTAAAACATAAATATCATATGACCCTGCAATTCCACCTTTAGAAGTCTGACAGAAATGGAGACACAGACACACAAAGCCATGTCCACAAATATTCACAGCAACATTTTTCATAAGAACACCAAATTGGAAATAACCCAAATGCCAATCAACTGGTAAGTAGGTCAGTACAGTATGGTATTCCTAAAGAGGAATGAGGTACTGATACAGGCAAAAATATTACGCCAGATGCAAAACACTATATATTGTAGGATTCCTTTTATAGATGTCCAGAAAAAGCACACTGCTAGAGACAGAAAGCAAAGCAGCAGTTGCTGAAGCCTGGGGGTTGGAGTGGGGATTAAGTGCAAATGGGCACCAGGGAACTTTGTGGAGTGATGGAAATCGTTGTCAACCCGGAGGTGGTGATGCCTGCACAGGGTTACAGTGTGTAACCTGGATCTGTTATACATAAAGCTGTTGAAAAAGAAAAAACAAACAGAATTGCTGATGATTCAATTGTTATCTGTCTTAGCCGTACCGGCTGAAGCCTTTGGGTTCCTTTTCCTCACAAGCTTTTGAGATTAAAACTGATCAAAACTATACTTAATAGATTACTCAAAAATGTCCTCAAACTTATCACTCTTTTAGGTCCTGTCTCAAGCCTGACATCACACACTCCTGAATGGACTACCACCTGGACCCAGTGAACTCAAGCTGGGCGCACACTGGAGAGGGGGTTCTGAGAGCTCACGCCCAGGGACCGTACGTTGTGCTGTAGGTTTGACAGCAGTTGCAGATTTCATTCTCTCACTGAGAGGACACCTTTGGGTGGACCGTCCCTCAGTGATTTTCTCTACCTGGGCCACAAGGCTTTTGCTCTACCCACCATGTCCCTTGTACACATTAGAGAACCAGGCTGTATTTTCTCAGCTCCTTTTAGAAACTCACTTGCCATTATCAAATACTGTTCCATTCATCAACCCTTACTAAATGACTCTCGATGTTATCTAATGATTCAAGAATGTTCTCCCTGTTGGCACGGGAAAAGAAAGACAATGGGATTAAGGTAGGACAGGTTTCTGATTTGGGTTCATTTGTCTAGACCTGCTTTTTATTTGCAGCCACAACACAGATTCCCAAATAGAGCCCCTCCTTAAGGAGTGACTTTTAAACTTTTTAAAGTTTCCGGGTGGAGAGAGCTGTCTGTAGGGCAGACAGATCCTCTGTGGAGGCCAGAATGCTGGTCTCCCATTTCCCCTTCTGCTTTATACATTTGTCACTGCCTCAATCGGCATCTACCTCATAGGGCATTCACCTCTGTCTCAATCTCTGTGACTAGGTGGAGAACTACAGTTCTTGTTCTTGGTGCCAGGACAAAGCCCCGTGCTGGATGTCTGGGAAATGGCGTAGGTCTGCTGAAGCCAACGGACAGGCTGTCTACCATTCAAGGAACTCTTAATGTTAACACCACCTAAATCGTAAGTGGCCAAATGTGATTACCTTTTCGGTCAGTTCTACCAGGCTGTCACTCTGCACTGGATCTGGGCAACAGAAGAGGAGCAGATAGATAGGAAGAAGAAAGGACACGAAGGATTACGAATCAGCTCCTCTATGCTGGACACAAATCATGGTACATCCTTAACCCTAAGAACTAGGAATAATGACATCCATTTTAGGGTCATGCAAAATGAAAACCGGGGTGGGCAGGGAAGGGCTGTCCAAGGAAGACAAATAAAAATGTGCACAGTTGGGTCTTAAGACTCCAAACCCGTTCTTCCGTTCCAGAAGCTCGAGGGCCTCGGGGGTGCTGGGGTGGAGCCACACACCGGGGACACAATGGCTGATCAAAACCGATGCCATTCAGTGGCCATATACCTTAAAGCTCTGGTGGGGACCGGATCAGAGATTCACAAAAGTAAATGTGTCATTATAAATTGTGGAAAATATAAAAATTCAGTACTCTTTCTATTAAGAGGACATCACCTTTCAACAAACACACGTGTCCCCTCATCACAGAAGTATGTACCCCAGCCCTGAAGATGTCACTGTAGACTCTGGTGATGGAATATACATGAGATGCAATGTTTACACAGCTGTGGTCATTTTGTAAACACTAGCTGAATGAGCGAATGATTCTTCTCCAATGAGAAAGTGGCACAGCAGAGTCAAAATGTGATTTGTTTCAATTTTATTTTCCTATCTCAGTTTCAGTAAAAGAATCAGAGAACTTATTGACACAAATCATAAGCTATCTCCCACCCATATACAGTATATGACCACTGTTTCTATTTTTTTCTTTTTCACTGAACAAGGTGATACTGTCTTCAAAGTACCAAGGAAGAGATAATACAAATGAAACAAAAAGGGAGGGGGGGGTATACGTGTGGTCTTTTTATTCACAGACAGTAAATGTATATGTACCACCATAAGGGGAAAAGCACTGAGGAAACATTTGCATCCCACAGGTTAAAAAGTCAAGCAATTAGTACAAGTAGAGTACCTCCAAAAATAGCAAATTTGGGACAATTAGCTATTACTGTGAAGGAAGTCCCGTCTTTTATTTTCCTGCCACCACATTCCTACACTGGAATTTAAGCTCTCTTCACAGCGCGAATATAAAAATGATCAAAGTCAGGGTTTTATGGCAATCTTTTGCTAAAATATATTCTATTTTAATATACATGCTATAAAAGTACACTAAAAAGGTCAATCGTTAGAGCTCTGTTAAAATTAAGAATTTACTTTTTTACATACAGGATAATGTACACCCACCTCTAAAAGTATATTTGAGGAAGGATATTACCGTGACCCCAAATATTTCTAGCTTCGTATTTGGTTTATAATAGGATTGACGTTATAATACATGTACTCAGTAATGCTCTCTTATAATTCCGCACTGCAGTGCCTCACCAATCGCTTTAAAGAAAAATGCGGAGGGAACCGTGTATCTCCAAGCAGTTCTTTCTTATTGTGCAAATCAAGTTTTCAATGTAAGCTCCTGTGACAAATTTTTCATCTTATTTTTTAACTTCTGCTAATCTAAATTCTTTTACGATCAGCATTTGGAGCTTTTAATGAGGCAAATATAAATGAGAGATGCTGAAAATTAAACCTGTAGGTAGCCTGACTTAAAAGGAATCATTCCCTCCTGTAAAAACATTTCCAGTGCCGATTCTAGTTTTCACGGGATGGTCTGAAATAATGCTGACTGAACACATCCCATGCGGACGAACTGACTGCGTGCGGGCCAAACCGAGAAATTAGACTCCTGGTACAGAGTTTAAGTAGATCTACTGTAATCATGTAGCGCACATGATGAAGCTGCTAGTTACAGACTTCCATCCATGGATCCCAGGCAGATGTGTCGTCTTTTATTTCAGGTATAGTCAGAGAACGGAAATCTAAAATAAGTGAAATCTGTTTCTGATTTAAACAAAAATATTTACTCTCTTCATTAGCAAAACATTCTTTAAAATCTATTTTTCTCCTCTCTGAACAGTTAGCCAAGGAGCACTAGGCAATTTTCGGGAGGCTCTGTGCACTACAATAAATACGGTCGTGGGGAACACACAGCAGCTATAGCTTATTTACATTCACCGATGAGAATAAACTTCTTATCTGATTAGTGTCCAGTCCCACAGAGGAAAGGTTTGGCATTCGTGCGCTTTTGGTTCTTGATGAGAATCACTTCTGCTTGATTTTCATTCTCGGAAGAAAAAAATCATCAGCTGATGTCCTCAGATTTCATGACATGATGTGAAAAAGGAAGGGAGCAAAGATTAGCTGTTAGCAGGGAGCTGGTCGGGGCTTAAGTCTGCAGGCAGATCTTCCTTCTTGCCAGGTGAGTGTCCCGCAGGCGCCCAGGGCTCCAGCAGGGAGGCCCCTGGAACACAGGCATGTGGAGCCTCCTCTGGGGACGGGCCGCTCTGGCTTAGTGGAGCACCCCCCTCTCTGCGTCAGCCACCACCCCTACTCACTACCCTCTATATTGATCTTATGTGCTTGAGGCTGCAGAACTGATGGAAACCAGTTCACTGGGAAACAAGCAAAAGCAGAGAATTCCACCAAGAGGTGGCCCGGGTCGTGCATCACTGTCTTCTGTGGAGATAATCTGTGCAGGATGTGTACATTGTGTTCTCCACAGCAGAATTCTCCTTTGTTTTTCTTGCAACTGTCATGTTTTTCCACACAATTTTATCAGGAGTGGAGTTTAATGTCTGCTCTTTTTGAACCTACCTAAAAGTGGAATGTTTTCCCCTGGCAAATGATTACTTACTTCTTTGAAAAATGGACAAGCATTTTTTTTTTCTTTTTGAATCCAACTCAGCCCTTCAGAAAGGACTTCAGACTAAGAGGAGGAAGTACAGGAGAACGAACTTCCTATTGCGCCTTACATAAAACACTTTGTTAAAATTAAGAGCAGCTCCAAGTACAAAAGTAAATATTTGTGCAAAGGGCACAATGCCAGATGCAATCTTAAGACATCCTCAATTTACTTTTTTCTGTTTGACTCTAAAACACAAGTCTTTTACATTATGAAACCTAGCAAGTCTGGGGAAGGAAGTTAACATCAGAAAATACACTTTAGAAAAGGTACAGGATCTTTTGCTGATAATTTGTTATTTTATAACTTGGATCAAGTAAGTGTTAAATATTCACAGTAATTTCGAGAAGAGACATTCGTGTCTGTAAAACGTCAATCTATTGCATTTTCAATCAGTTTTCTGTACAATTACAAAATTTCATCTGTCAGTGCTTTTCTGTAGAATTCCTTATGCTCAGTCCTTCCCTTTCTGGATCCAGCTATACCTTTAAGGTGGGCTGTAGGATTCCTTTCTCAATCAGATGAGTCTTCAGGGTTTTATATATATTTAACTGCTGTTCTGGTTGAAGCACCAACAACTGCTGAAGCACTTTGCTGGGATTCGGACCCCTGATAACAAAGCAGAAAAGGCCAAGTTCATGCTATTTTGAGAGACCTAAAGGAAGCATATACCCCCAACTGAAAATAAATCATGCACTTAAGTGAAGAGTAACAACCTTTACTTGATCAAGCTCACTTTAGTGCCCAATGTTAGTGTCAGAGGGAGAAAAAAACCCCGGAAATATTCGGCACCGAGAGGCATACAGTCTAGATTTGGGAAGAACCCACAAACACAAAATGCAGGAACAACACTAGGCAATCTAGGGGGTGCAGGTCTAAGTTCCACAAAGCTTCTCAAAGGGGCAACCTGAGTTAGAAGTGGGAACAGGGAATGAATCCTGACTGGTCAAGACACACAAACCATCCTGTAAGGAAAGGAGCAGAAGTCCTGGTGGATGAAGAGAAGCCAGAAGGGGACAGGAAAATATACTTCAAATTTTTAGCTTCAAAGAAACCTCGAGACGTGCCCCTGGGGTATTATGAATGTTCGAGAGACAGGACGCAGGTGCTGACCTGGCACTGAAGCCACTACCCGGGATCTGCAGTAGATGCCACAGCCTTTGTCCAAACAAAGTCTTCGGTGAACCCCAATGTAGGAAACAAAAGTGGGTCCTTTCTCGTTGAAGGGGGGACAGGAGGCAGACAGCCTGCCCTCCTCACCCCCCTGCCAGCAGTCCCAGGACAGGGGAGGCGAGCCCAGGGGGAGCTGAGGCAGCAACATGGAGGCAGTGGTGTGGCGCACTCCCCCTTCTCTGCCAGGGGCGTCTCCTCCAGCAGCTCCCCCCAGCCTCCCTGCCCCAGCCCTCCATGTTGCACTTGAATCCTTGAATCGGAAAAGGTGCTAAACAGGACTCTTACCCTTTCCCGGCCCTGACACTTATACGGTCAGGGGTTCGTAACCTCCCCCCACCCCCCATGGGACTCTAGAACTCAACCCGCTTACAACCGTGTGGCCTTCTACAGTGCTATTTTGTCACATTCAGAATGAACCGAATTTAGACTTTAATGCAGATGTGTCGTTCTCTGCGATTTCTACAGTCCATTTGAATATGAAAAGCAGATTATGGTTCACTTCTCGTAAAGAGAGATTAGTAAAATCCAATGGAAAACAGCAAGACATAAATGATATATGGGAGAAGGGCACCGAATTCTGAGAAAGACATTTACACAGGTAACGAAATTTATGATTAGGACTGTTCAGTTCAAATGGAATTATAGGAAACAGAAAACCCAGCAACAAAGAAATGTCTGCTATATAGGGATATCACAACAAAAGTCTTTGATTAAAAAAACCACAGCACAGATTAGCCATCCCCTGGGTTACCTTCGTGCACGTGCCTCAGCTCATCTGCCAAAAGTGTGGCCAGATGCCTCTCACAGCCACTGTCTACTCAAGGCAGGGCACAGCTTGTCTTACATTTCTTCAAAAGATTCAGGAACTTCCTAACAAACCCAGAGTAGGGGCCCACAGAGAAAAGGAAGAGTATTGTAGCAAGTTCAGCTAAATGCAAAATTATGTCAGCAGGCGCTCCCAGCTACATGCACCCTGGCACTAGCCCTGTATCTCTAATAGTCTAAATATTTGCTTTCAAATGGTAGACAACATGGCTCAGCATTACTTTTCTCTAGTGAGAGAATAGCAGGTTAAAAAAAAAAAAGTGAGTTAATGCCCTAAAAGCCGCCACCATCTGAAAACAGAGTTCTAAGGATTTATTTTTTTCCCAATTTTTTTTTTAAGATTTTATTTATTTGACAGAGAGAGTGAGAGAGCACAAGCAGGGGGAACAGTAGAGGGAGAGGGAGAAGCAGGCTCCCCACCAAGCAGGGAGCCTGACGTGTGGCTTGATCCCAGA